AAGTTGCTCATGAAGAGACCGCCGCTTGCTGTTTTTTCAAAGGTAATGATAACATACAAGTTGCTCATGAAGAGACTGCCGCTTGCTGTTTTCTCAAAGATACCCATAAAATATCATGAAGATATTGCTGGAGGTGAGAATCAATAATTTCATCGAGGATGGACAAACTGCTCATGAAGAGACCGCCATTTGTCGTAGAGAAATCAGAAATAATCAAACTGCTCAAATAAAGAGTCAGTCGCTTGTTGTCATGTCGATATTCCAGAAGAAGGTTGTGATAACACTGCTGGGGAATAAAGTTCATCTTCAATGGGGAACCATGAATAAATCCTTCTTGAGGAGACCAAGTATTTGCGTTGCAAAATAAATGCACTCTCCATCTATGTTTCACAGCCTAGAGAGATCCACAGGATATCATTCACAAGAGACAAAGCTCAATCCAGGAATAAACTGGGGAGAAAATAGTCAAACAAGACTCCACCCAATGAGGAAACAACTCAAATGGGGATTTATCCTATCCAGAGATGGAAAAGGAAAGCTAAAGCAAGATTCTTCCACGAGAGTTAACTCAGTGGGGAATTAGAAAGAAGACGCACTTTCTGCTTAAGTTGGCACTCTACTTGGAAAGATCAAATACATTATTTGAATAGACACAACCAAGGTATACGAACTCAATGACATCAACAAATACAACTGTGCGTGCATGATGCAAGTGTGAATGAGTAAATGAATGCCATGTATGTGCTGAAAAAACAAATAGACAAGATAAACTGGAGATGATAAGACATCATTGCACAACCCAACACTCGGCTAATCTCAACAGGATGGGAACATTACTGGAGATAAAACACAGGCCATCATTGGAGCAAGGTCCTTTTACAAGGCTTAAATATCTTTGGAGAGGAAGATATTTTCAGGTAGAAAACCCAATGTCCAGTCTTCTATTGCAAACAATCCATTGAAAGGATAACAACACAAACAAAGTTTCCGCTGGAAAGAAGTCTTGCTTAGCTGGAGATACTGGGAACACCACCCTCTGATAATGTATGAAAAACATATCTTGACAAATCTGGATTGCCCCTGGGATTAATTTTGGATGCCCCAAGTTTACTGCTGATAAGCTGCGTGATGCACAACAATTCTTGCGAATAGCTTCACCTCTAAAATGCCCCAAGCTATCTGGTTGATGAGGAGAAATTGTCTCAAGAGGATTTTACAAAAGACCTGGCATTCACCATGCTCTGGTGTCTTCAAACTCTTAGAGGAATTCATCAAATCTCGACGTGATTGCCCCGGATTGACTGTAGTTGGCACAACAAAGTCTTCAAATTTTTTCCAAAAAGAGTAAACAAGTTGGGAAAGCATTAATTAGGAGAAGCAACATGTTCGTGCTTAAGGTCTTCAGGTGACATGCCACTGCATATGATTTTTTCTTGAAATGATCCGCCAATTACTCAACAGAGCTTCAAGCCTTAAGAATAGACTCATCACTGGTGCTTATATGTGAGCTTCCTTGATATCAACCAAATGTTTTGCAGTTAGAAAAAGTTTACAATGAGAATGAAAATTCTAATGCAACAGTTATGTAAGTCTTGAAGATTTTGAAAGATATCGCACAAATTTTGCGAGTTAAAGCACCATTTATTTTTGTATAGGAAAAACATATGATACCAACATAACTATTTAGAACATTCATGGGAGTCAGGAACACTATCTCATTGAAGTATGCTTTCAAAATAATCTTGCTTCAATTAGGACTTTTGAAGGTTGTAACGTGGTCTGGTTCATGGTTTTTAGAAAAAAGATTTTAAGGCTCAAAATATTTTGTGCCCACCCATTCTTCATGATGTTCTCCAACCCTATGTTCAGTTAATTCGACATGAGTGTTCATCTCTCAAAAGGATTTTGTGACGGTCAAGGAAACGACGAGGCTTTCGGAGTAGAAACCACCCTCATGTCTTCGTGTTTGTAGTCACCAATTTGTTCTTTGCTGAGGACTTTTCTTTGCAGTCCTTTTCTTTGCAATTTTTATTTTCCCTAACTTTTGCCTGAACTAATTCTTTTGAATTGATAGTCCAGCGGGATGCCTTAATTTTTCCTAAGTCACACGTTTTCATGTTTTTTGACTTAGCAAGCTTTTTCTTTTTCTCGATTTTTGACTTTTTGAACAAAATGTGTGACATTAGCTTGTATTTGCTTGTTGAGAAGATTGTGATTGCCTCGTTTCTTGATGAATGAGGATAACATTGTGATTCCACATCTTCTGGCTTCATTATACATGAAAGATAGCCCTCGTAGTTTCTCTTCAGAAATATTTTCCTTATGAATTTTGAACACTCAATCAGATTAATTGAAAACTACCCTGCCCCAGGTTAAATTTTGAGGGTTTTTTCGTATAGAAAAAGAAACTCCTACTTCAAGGCTCAAAAGGGGTTAGCAAGGGATTATCTTCCTTATATCTTCGGTGTTTAGGGATTTGAAACAATGCCTGTACATCGTCAGCAAGATTTTATTCAAAAAGCACACAACCAGAGATTTTGTGTTCTTTAGATCATCATCCTCCCTCAATCTCTGCCTAGGCAAGAGAATGGGCAACAAGTTAGTATCATAATGCAAAAAGAAATTTAAAATTTGAAAACCAATATGGGTGAAACAAATGAATTTCTTCAAGACAAACATACTCATTGTATTAAGATAATCATTCAGATGCAAACAAGTTCTTACATGCAAACAATGTTTTGATAAACAAGAAAATTTACAAAAGCAGAAATAAGTTAGTAATCTGGGAAGGCTTTCCATCTGGATTTGTGCTGAAGGAAACCTCTCCTTAACTTCAAGGCCAAAATCAACAGAGATTCACTTATGCTTTAGCAGAGGGGTTGACTTGAATGTTCAGACCAAACTAGTTAAGGGCTCCACACTAGCTTTCAAAATAATCATCTCTCTGCGGAATTCAGAAATCTCTTGCTTGATATCCTCCATTGTTCTCTTAGCGCGAGTGTTGTACTGGTCAGACCAAAAGGAAAAATAAGACTTGGAAAAAGACCTTTGAAAGTGAAACCAAAAATGTAGAATGATGCATGATATGCAAAAGAGAGTTTTTATTTGACTTTCAAGGAACTAAAGATATTAAGTTGTAAACATCAAAGCATGAAGATAGAAGATGAATTTTAAATTGGATCAAAGCGTTGATCAAGTTATCATCAAGATCAATCATCCATTTTGGTGGATTAGGGTTTTCACCCTATCAACACCCAAGATCCATTGAGCTTGACGAAACTTGTGATGTTTACAAAGAAAGACCTCCAAATTCCTTGAAAGTCAAGTGAAAAGGGTTTTATGGATGCATGAATGCATGGCTATGCAATAACCACAAGCAAGGTCACAAATAAAGTTGGAAGGTTCAATGTCACGAGCATGGAGTCAAAGGTAAAGAACATCCCCAAGGTATGTACTAACGGTTTAATCACACCTGTAAGACAAGGTTCTAAGAGTTCCCGGAGTCTACATTCCTCCTTCGGATATTACCAACGTCTTGATTACTCAATAATCAGCAATATTCTCAAGAGAAACTCATCCGAGCGTAGCATCGCGTAACAATTACTTCCGGATTACTCCGTTATAATCTCCGCGCTACACCTAAAAGGCCAAGATGGGTTAGGGTTCTACGGTTCCCAGCTTCTCTGGCTCCCAGGTCGAAAATAATAATGTCTTCCCGATTACTCGGTAAACAAATATTACGTTCAAAAGGGCCTTCCACTGAGTGGGGGATCTCATGCCTCCTTCTTCGGGATTACTCCCTCAAAGTTAACATGACTATACCGCCCGTCCTATTCCTAAGTGTAACTTAGTCCGGGTATAGGACTTGTCCTTTGCCAAAAAACCCAAACAACCCCAATATAAACACATAATCAAACAAATCAAATAATAATAAAACAGATAAAACAAACTAGGCTTAACCCACTTAGGGATGGACCAGCAAGAGGTCAATCTGTCCCCAGCAGAGTCGCCAATTCTGTAGCGGTGAAAATCGGAGATCAAGCTATTAATTAACTTAACTCGCAAAAGCAAGAGTCGCCACCGCGCTTTATTATTTCCAAGGGAAAAGGGAAAAGAGCGAAATAAAACCCTAAAATATGCAATGTAAAATAATACTTAAAAGTAATAAAAATACAATGCGTTTTTTGAAAGAGATCGAGAGTTCGGGGGTTGGTTATACAATGGGAAGGTATTAGCACCCAATGCATCTGCGGTACTCCGCAGGAACCTTTTGAAATATCTGTTTTTTTGGTTAAAAATTGTTTGTTTGTGTTTTTTAATCGTTTTAATTGCAAAGATCTTGATTAATGCATGATTAGAAAAAAATATTTAATGCAAAATATATAAAAGAATGTTCATGAGTTTTGAATAAGAATAATTGGATGATAATGATAATAATTAATATAATAAATAGGAATTAACATAAATAATAATTATAATTATAAAATAAAGAAAAGGATAAAATAATATAATAATTATAACAAAAGTAGAAAGTATAAGAATTATATAAAAAAAATAGAAAATGTTTAGTTAATTCCAGGGGGTGCAATTTATAGTTAATAAGTAAAAGCTGGGGGGTGCAAATAAACAAAAGAGAAACCCAAATATCTAAAGCCCAAATACATTCAATGGTTCCTAACTTTAAAACAATTAAAACAAAATGAAGAAAATGTACTAGTACCATGTTGCAACGTTAGATGAAAGAGCGCTGCCCTGTTTGGCCTTCTTCTAACCCTCATTCCAATCGGCGGTTGACACGTGGCATTTACTAAATAAAAAGTAATAAAAAAGAAAAAGGAAACCTGATATATGAAGCATAGGGGATCAATTCCCCTAATCTATTTTCTTTCTTCCTCGTGAAAATACCAACAACAATTGCTTTTTATCTCTTACTCTTCTCTTATGTTCATTCATCATTTTTCCTTAAGCACATATATACATAGAAACATGAGAGCAATCCATCAACAAATGAAGAAAAGAGTACCAGATTGGGGGCGGCCGAATTGATGGTGGCCGATGAGTGGTTGAAGGAAGATGTCGTATGCGGTGATGCTGGTCGCAACTTCGTCGGAGACGGAGCTGCTCATGGGGGGTCCGATCAAAGGTGATGGACGAATAGACGGACTCACGAGGTGGACGATGGTGGTGCACATCGGTAGTATGAGGGAGGTGGTGAATTGGTCTGAAACAGATACGTCAGAGGTTGTTCTATCACATTGAAACAAAGACAGCGACGACATGTCCTCCGATCCAATTTATCTTCTTCGTCTCCTTTCTTGATTTTTTGAAGTTTTTGTTTATTGTCGTTGCAGGTTTGAATGGTTCATGTATTTTGTGAATGTTGGAATTTACGGTTCAAAGTTTGAAGATAAGAATGGACATAGAGGTGTTTGATTGGTGACAGTGTTTAGTTGCGGCAAGGAGATTTTAAGGAAAAGTAAAGGATGAAAACTGTGTGGTATGAAGCAGAGAGAGGAGAAAGGTTGGTTCGAAGGTAGTTGATGAAGGGGATTAGAAGAGGGTTTTGGGTAGTTCGGGGCAGCAACGGATGACCCATTTGAGGGCAGTGGTGGAAGTGGAGGAAGAGAGTTTGTTGGAGGAAGTGTTCACGCTGGTGATATTCACAGGTGGAAGTGTAAGCCATTTGGAATCTTCTGCGGAGATATGGCAGTAACGAGTAAGTGACTTCAGGGCGAGTCGGACAGACATGTGGGCATGGGGAGCGGTGTTGAATGATGATGGCCGGTGGTTAGTTAATCGGACAGTGGGGAGAGGTTTGTTGAGGAAGGAGTTGTTTGACAGAAAGAATGCTTGAGGAAGTCGCTGCTTGACGAAGGTGCTTGCGGAATGGGTTGCAGTTTGATGGAGGTGAGCTGAGTGAGGAGAAACACAGTGAGGGCAAAGACTGATGCAACAATCCAAACAATATACGTTCTTTTCATTTTTTTTGGTTTTTGGATGAATTAAGCAAGCGTTGTAGAATTTATCGGTGAGGAGAAATTGAAGCTAACGAGGAACTACTGCATAATAAATATCCATGATGATGATGATTTTTATTTGGTTTGTAGTGTTTTAAGTGTGTGAGTACTGTTGTTGTTTTTTTTTGTGTGAAGTTGGATGTCGATCCGCGTGAAGTTTTTGAGCAGTGTTTGAGACTGTTGATAAATATTTGAATGGATGGTGAGGATTTCAGCTTTTAGAAAATGATTTATGATGTTGATGTGGTCCCACTCTGCAATTTTCTTTCTCTATTTTTGACAAAAACAAACAAATAATAACATAATAGTAACAATAATATAAGAAGAAGAGAAAAGTATTAGTAACAATAATTAAAATAAAATAATAAAATGCAACAATGATAATAACAATAATGAGAACAAAAATAAAAATAATTAGTAACAATAAAAGATGAAATAATAAAATGCAATAAAGATACTAATAATAATAATAATAATGAGAAAAAGGGAAAATAGTTAGTAATATCTAAAAGAAATAGAAATAGATTAAAATAAGAAGAAAAAAAATAATAAGACAGATTTTTGAACTAAAACAAATTCATTGGAAATATGATAGAAAATGCAGATGATAAACTATTTTTATTCTTTTTTTTTAAATAGAAATTAAAATGATGAATAAAAACAAGAAAGTAAGCGAAATGATCGATTTTTCAAATTAACGACAAAATATGCACCAGTCGAAAAAAGTGAAGGGGCGAAAAATGGGGTGCGACAGTTGTGCCTTGATGAATCAGTCTTCGAGAATCCATAATCAACCGTACTTTTGGCTTGGGAGACTCAAAACCTTAATTGAGGCGCGACACCTGATGCTCTTGATTCAGACCTGTCTCTGCACATGACACAAAAGAAAACATGAACATACACCTTTGTATGCGATTAGAAATTAGTGATACATATGCTAAAAATGTTCAAAACACTTGACAATCTTCGCATAGTCAAAGCTCGAAGGTGAGATGTTAAAACCGACCGTATTTCGTGACCTTGACTTATCTTAAACAAATGCAAAAATAAAAATGGGATCTTAGGTCAAAAATTGGGGTACAACACTTCCATCCTTCCAGTGATCATTGAGCCTGTTAAGGAGGGAGAAGTTCCATACACTATCCTACATCCTGACATGCCCACATCTCTTGAAGACCTACAAAGGGATTGGATACAACTCAAAGGAGAACGAGATACTTTCGAAGCCCAATTCTACGCAAGCGAGAAGAAGGTTTTGAAACTCACTAGGCTACTTCATGAGGAGCAGACTCTAAATGCCTAAATTGCACCAAAAAGGATGCGCACTACTTTTTCATCTTAGAGTTTTGTATTATTTTGCCCAAGGGGCATTGATGTACTCAAACTTTATCTTATTAATATAACGTGTGTTTCTTTTTGTCTAAAACGAACATGAATCTTTGAAATCCTTAAAAACATTGCATATGCACATACCATTCATCATAACATAAACAAGTCTTTTGCAACGAGTTTCATCATCTCTCTACTGTTTATTTCAGTAAGATGCGTCTCGAACAGACAGTCAAAGATCTCCAAGCTCAGAACACGCAGTTTCAACAATTGCTCATGACCCTAGCCAAGGGGCAAGAAGAGTTGAAGACTCTGCTGGCTGAGGAAAGGAAAAAGAAAATAAAGAAAGTCATCGGGGTCCTAAACATGGGGAGAAGATTTCAGGGGCAGACTAGAAGAACCTTGAATTTTTCAACAACATCTGGTGAAGGAGAGGGAAAAGGAAAGGAAACAGCGGTCCCGTCAGAATCTGAAGAGGAGGAAGAAGAGGAAGACTACTCTGAGGAACAGTATCCTCCAGCTGATGATAAGTACAAACATCTTGAAGAGCGTTTGAGCGCTATGGAAATACAAAAGGTGTCAGGCCTAGACTATGAAGAATTGGGGCTAGTGTCAGGAATGGTGATCCCTCTGAAATTCAAAGTGCCTTTGTTTGCAAAATATGATGGAGTGTCATGTCGTAAGATGCATCTCCGATCATACGTGAGAAAGATCCAACCATACTCTGCTGATAAAGACTTGTGGGTGCATTTTTTCCAAGATAGTCTATCTGGAACACAACTCGACTGGTTTTACCAACTAGAGAGAGCCAACATCCATAATTGGGAAGATCTTGCCACAACTTTCTACAAGCAATATCAATATAATGCTGATTTGGCGCCTACCCGTACTCAACTTCAGAGTATGGATGTGGCTTCCAATGAGGGTTTCAAGGATTACACACAGAAATGGAGAGATCTAGCTGGAAGAGTTCAACCCCCTCTGTCTGAAAGGGAATTGGTGGACATGTTCTTAGGCACTCTATCGGGCCCTTTCTTCAACCATTTAATTGGATGCTCATCTGCAGGATTTACTGAGTTAATACTGACCGTAGAGAGGGTGGAAGCTGGCATAAAAAATGGAAAGATTCAGAAGGATTCATCTTCTTCTACAGCTGTGAGGAAGCCTTTTATTGGGAAGAAAGAAGTAGCTGCTGTATATACACAAAGGAACCAAGGGAGAGCCGAACGCCGACCAATGGTAGGGGCTGTTATGATCCCAAAACCTACATCTGATCAACCAAGAAGTAATCAACCAAGGGTGTAAAGGCCAGTCAGGCAATTCACTAGAATCAATATGAGTCTGTTCCAAGTATTACCGCATCTTCTGAAATCCAATTTGGCAAGTTTAAAAGAAGCTCCAAAAAACCCCAACATAGCATCCCCTCTTTATCACCCAAATTCTCGTTGCGCATATCACTCCGAAAGTCCGGGTCATGACACCAACAACTGTTAGGCCTTGAAAAACAAAATTCAAGACCTTATTGAAGCGAAAGAAATTAAGTTTGACGCGCCCGAGAAGCCAAACGTCATTTCTGCTCCTATGCCCAGACATGGTCACAACACCAATGTTGTTGAAGAAGATTTGTTTGTTACCACAGTTGATGAACTCGTGACTCCACTCTCAATCATTAAGATAAACTTGTTGAAAGCCGGTGTTTTCCCGGGTTGTAATGAAGACTGCCACCTCTGCTTATCCTCACCAACTGATTGCCTTCTGTTGAAAACAGGAATTCAACACTTGATAGACAATAAAGCGATCCTATTTGAAAGTACTCTTGTTTCACTTGTTCCTGTTGAAGACGTTTCAATCATCACCATCTCCGCCAATTCTTCCAGGGTCCCTAAAAGACCCGTTAGAATTACATCTGTTCCAAAACCTACGCCTCTTATAATCACAATGCCTGGGCCAGTCCCATATAAATCAGACAAAACTATGTCGTGGAATTACGGTGGGGACATCTACTACCATGGCATCAAAAAAGATGGGCTGGCCACCGAAGAATTAAGCTCTGAAGAAGAAGATTCTGACATTAGCAATATTGCCGGAACTAGTAAGATTACCAGAAGCGATAGGATCTTTTCTCCAGAAATTCCCCCTCCCCCAAAGGCAGTTTTTGGACCCGTGGCTGCTCCAAAGGTTACTTTCGTACCACTAATCATCTCTACAAGTGCTCCTATTGACGAAGTCGTTATAACCCCTGCTGTCATTCCTACCAACACTCCTGCTGTTGAAACTCGAGGGAAAAGTATTCAAGTAGATCTTGTCCAGACGAAGGCTCAATCACTGACTACCCCCGAGACCTCCAAGAAAGAAATGGAGGAGATTCTAAAAATAATAAAGAGGAGCGACTACGATGTAGTTGAACAATTGGGGCAAAATCCCTCCAAAATCTCCATGCTGGCATTGCTACTGTGTTCCGAGGCACATACAAAAGCCTTGGTGAAGTTCCTAAAGACAGCCCATGTGCCTCAAGAGACGTCTGCTGATCAATTTCAAGTTTGTGTGGCCAGCTTGACAACGGATAACGGCCTAGGCTTCTCAGATGCTGATCTGACACCAAGGGGAAGAAAGCACAACGAGGCATTACATGTCTCTGTGGAATGTAGAGGCACAACTCTGGCCCATGTCTTGGTGGACACTGGCTCATCTTTGAATGTTTTACCGAAGAAAGCTCTCGACAGACTGGACTGTGAAGGACTGACGTTAAAGCCAAGTAACATAGTCGTAAGGGCATTTGATGGCTCAAAGAGGATGGTACACGGGGAGGTGGATATCCTTATAAAGGTTGGGACTCAGACTTTCAATTCAACCTTTTATGTAATGGACATCCGCCCCTCTTACTCCTGTCTGCTAGGACGGCCGTGGATCCATAATGCCGGCGCTGTCACCTCTACACTGCACCAGATGCTGAAATATCCGGTCCAGGGAAAGATGATCACTGTCCACAAAGAGGAAGAATATATGATTAACCACCTCAATTCCTTCAGGTATGTGGAATTGGACGGCGAGTTCTTTGAAACTCCTTTTCAACACTTCGAAGAGGTCCCCCAAGAGGTGGCAGTGACCAAAGTTGTGTCCCAGATTCCCAAGATTACAAGACCTCCACTCCGGATGTCAACTTTGAAGGACGCCAAGACAGTAGTAGAGGAGGGTGGACCCACCATCTAGGGGAAACTTTTGGATATTCCGTATAAATCTGACAAATTTGGCTTAGATTTCACTTCAAGTGCTCAGAAGGCTGTACGCCGTGCCCGTGCTGGAGGACCACCCTTGAAGATTAGCAACCGAGAGGTTAATGCAGTAGAAGATGGTGAAGAGGATTGCAGCTTGGAGGAATGGATATTTCCAACTGTCAGCGGA